TCTGAAACCTGTTCAACTGCAGACCAACCCCTTGTGACCAGATCTAGGTTGTTTGATCAAGTTGTCTTCTCAATCACTGCACAAGCATCAAAAGAAAAGGAAGAATCCAACACTTATGAATCTTGCAACATAGTTTACACTTGTGACAATGAGCTTCAAGAGCAATTCTCAGAAGATGAAGAGTATGGTTTGTTTGTTGAAGATCCAAACTATGGGGACAATTCATCTAATGACAACTCAGAACCAATTACCAAGAGCATATCCAGAGAGAGACTGATTGAATTCAACAATTTTGTGAAGTCCATTCCTCTCTACCATGGTTTCGACGACATCTGGAAGCAAGGCTGCCTTCAAGTTTTTTTTTCAGATATAGCAAGAAGACTAAGGAGAACGTCTACACTTATTTCAGAAGAGCCAGGTATCTATCTTTTCCTAGATCATCACCTGATGCAGCTGTTTACATGATCCATCTCAAAGATCCCCACGAAGCCATTGACTACACAAACAAGATCAACAAAGAAGCACTTGAAGAGTCAATCAAGTAGTTCAAAGCCTCCTAGAAGGAATTTCATTTGCCAAAGCATGTAGAGACTACATGATCGGCCACTTCTTCTATGACAGCAAAGATTCTATTCAAGAGATGAAAGACTTGTTCACACACGCCCAAGAAGGTAGACCATTTCGAAATCTGCACAAAGTTCAAGACAAAGGTCAATTTCTTATATCTTGTGATATTAGAGGTGAAAGATTTCTCAATATTCTTTGTGATTCTGGAGCTTGCATTAACATGATGTCCAAAGCAACTGCTTTGAGACTTGGCATTAAGCACATTTCAAATACCATGACAAAGATTAGCTTAGCAGATGGTTCAAGTGCAACACCAAGAGGGATATCCCGAGATATTCCTCTAAGGATTGGAGATTGCATTGCACCTGTCGATCTATACATAGTGAAGACCAAAGATGACTCTTATCCACTTATCCTTGGATGGTCTTTCTTAGCAACTGCTGGAGCCATCATGGATTGGCCCAACAGGAGATTTTATTTTGCAAATATCGACAAGGATATCTTCTATCAAGCTACACCACTTAAGAGCAAAGGAGAAAAGCAGAAAGCCTAGGCCTTTGAACCAGAAGAAATCTGGAGTGATGAAGAACCTGCAAGACAGAAGAGAAGGATTTCGAAAAGGACTTGTCTTAGGACAAGATCCTATTTGAGCTAAGTCTTTTTCTTTTGCAAGTGTAGCTAAGGACTATAAACCAAAGCGCTTGATGGGAGGCAACCCATTTAGCTACTTATTTGCTTCTGTTTATCTTTCTTTTTCTATTAAAGTTTTGGTTTTTTTATTTTAGACAGGCCTTAGTATGCCACAAAAAAAGGAAGAAAAAGAAGAAAGAGAGCTGACCGCAGCCAAAGGAGGTTCAACCGCAGCCAGCAAGCATTTTGCCGTGGCCACGAAGCTTTGAACCGCGGCCAGCACCACTCGGCCACCCTTGGCCATTTCCACCTCTACCTTGATTCAAATCCATCCAAGTTGGATCAAGCACCACTTCACATCATCCACCATCCACCATTCAATATCCTACCACCTCCACAACCACCTCATAATCCATCACCACACCAGGTAAGTTTTCTTTTCCTTAATCTTTTTAAATTTTTTCACATACTCTATTTCTCATCCTTGCCTGATTTATTTCATACTGGGGACAGTGTGATTTAAGTATGGGGGAGGATTTCATCCCTTTCTAACCACTTTTTCTTGCATGAGCCTTTGCATTCTGCATTTTTCTTTAAAATTTTTCAATTTTTTTTTCGATTTTTCACAAAACTTTTCAAAATTCTTTTGAGTTTCAAAAAGTGTTTTCAAAGGTCAAATACATTTTAAGGGAATAATGACAAAATCGATGATGATAACCAACCTGTTTGCTTCTACACCAATGATTCATAAAAAGCTCTTTCAAGGTTTAGTATTAGACTTGGCGGTAGCTGGAGTACTTACACTACGAAATCCTACCAGAAGACTTCTATTCATGAAGATATTTTCTAACAGGATATTCTAGCTCATCTTACTTGGACTTAATCTTGACATCTAATTTTCTCATCAATGGTTTTAAGAAGGCATCATGATATACATCTAGGACATCTTTATCTTATTGTTACCACTCTTTGTTGTCCTAGATGGCCAGTTCATCTTTAGCTGGTACCTCACCTTTAACCCAAACCTTTATGTTCTAACCTCATGCATTCTCTCTTAAGTATATATTGACAGATATGTGCAAAAACGCCGTAGAGGGAGGAACAACATAGTTTTCAGTCATTCATGAGAAAAACTGAAAAAGACCAGAAGGGAGTGTGCCAGAAATCTTATGATTCCTCAGAAAAGCTCATTCTTATAAGTAAATTTCATGCTTTTTAAGATTAAGTCAAAAGGCAGTTTCCCCTTTCCCAAAAAAAAAACAAAAAAAAAAAGAAGGAAAGGAAAGAAAACCAAAAGCCTAAAGAGTCTTAGAAGCCGAAATCATTTGAGCCAAGGCAATAGGTATCCACCTAAGGAGTTATGGATTCACAACCTAGACAAAAAATCCAAGTCTGGGGGAACTATAAGGAGAACCTGAAGAAAGGAGATCAGAAATCTTAAAGCAAAGAGAATGTGACTGAAACAGTGGGGGCATTTACAGTTCCATCCTCTCTTGCTGTTTTGCATAATGTCTTGTCTCTCCAGAAAAAGGTAACCCTAAACACATCAAACCTTACCATTAAAAAGCCTTTTTGATACCTAACCTTGAATGCCTTGTTTGATATCCTTTTGATGAGAATCACTGAAACCTTTAATAAATGTTAAGAGCTAGGTGACTGGAAGTTAGTTCTAAGTGTGTGGATTTTTGCATGACGGATTAACAGACTAGTTATGTTTGTATTTTGGTGAGAATTTTCTAGACTTGATCTGATTGACGCATTGTCCATAATTAAGGTCTAGAAGTATGGTTGCTGATATTTTTGAGTTCCCTCTCACTTTTGTTGAATGATATTTTTCCAGATTTGATCTTGTTTTGTTTGAGGACAAACAAAGTCTTAAGTCAAGGGGGGGGGGGGTTGATACCACACCTGATTTTGACCCATTTTCACCATTGATTTCAATGCTTTTTCAAAGATTTTAATCATTTTTAGTAATTTTTATTATGATTTCCATGTATCTGTAGTTTAAAGGTTCTTTTCAGGAAACTTACGGAAAATGATGGAAAAATGGAAGAAATCTACTTTTTTAAGCTCAGAGTCAGACCGTCAGAAGTTCAGCCTCAAATGAAGACTTTTTCAACGTCTGATCTAGTTCAAATTTGGAGACAATCAAGAGGAGACAACCAGATTTCCATAGCACTTTACATCACAAAGATTCAATTGTGCAATCAAAAGATACATGGAGAACAAGCTGACCCAGTTTACCGGTCCTGGAAGACTCTCACCCGCGGCAAAATCATGTTTTACCTGCCCTGGAAGACTCTCACCCCCGGTGTACCTTAGGACGAGCCACAAGGCCCAACATCAAAGCCCACTTCGCCATTCCTCTTCAGAGAAGCCCTAAATGAGATCTGGAAGACCTTAGGACCTATAAATACATTGTTTAGCAGCCCCAAACAAGTGTGTGCTCCTGTAATGAGATTTTGAGCCACCAAGCTATGTGTTAGGCGATGGAGATGGGGATTCTTCCCCAGATCCATTGTTCTTTCTCCTTTCTATTCTACTAACTTTTCTGTTTCATTCTTTTGCTTTTTTCTATGTCTTTTATTATTCCTTGCATCATGTAGATCTGTCCCAGATAGTCAAGTTGTTTTAAGAGTCATCGATGAGCATATATATCGATTAGGATTTCTATAGTTCTAAACCATATTCTGTATCTCATCTCTTCTAAGTTGTTCATATTTCATGAGAGTAGATTCATGACCTATTTTCTGAGCTTAGGATCGATCAGAGCCACGAGAGTGTTGTATCAGATCATCCATACCTAGCTTCAGAAGAACATAGTCGCTATAGGAGTCGAAAGCTACCTATATAGAAGATGAGAGCAGACGAATTCAATGTCTAATGCATGATCTTATTTCTGTCATGAGAGCGAGAGTTAATTGTCAGATCTAAGTGATTAGTTGATTAAGATGGCGAGAATTGGTTAATCATACATATGTCTATTCTAGTTTCATGCAGATTCCCAGAAAAAGATGAAGATAAATCGCCCGGAAGCTAATTGGAAATGCCACCATACATCGATTAGAGTAAACCGGAGAAGTCTAAATCGCACCCTATGAGTTTAAGAGTCTTTAGTTTGAGTCGATATGCTTGAGATATTCTTTTAACAATTCATCCTGCATTGCATTTTATCTCTTGTGAATATTAAATTAGGTTTAGTTTAGGACTTTTAACCAAAAACCCCAACACGTTTATTGGTTTATGACTTTGCTTACGTTCCAGTTTGTTGTTTCTTGCAGATTAGACATCCTCTCTGTGGATCGACACCCTAAGTTCTACAATGTACATCTGTGCACTTTCAGATTTTAGGGTTTTATACATTTAAATCTTCCTTTATGGACCAATGGGCTTGGATGAAAAACAACCCTAGGCCTGTAGCTCATCAACGTTCCAAAATGCACTTTACCGTGCCGGATGTACCAGACGTCCCTTGTATCAGATGTACCTGATGCACGCTTGCCAGATGTACCAGAATTCCCTTCTATCAGATGTACTAAACGCACCAATATTATGCCAGATGTACCAGATGCACTCTTACTGTGCTAGATCTACTTGGTGTTAAGTAGAACAGGTGTCTCTACAGACCAGACGTCCCTTTGGACCAGATGTTCCGTCGGACCAGACTCCACTGCGGACTAGATGTTATTTCAGACCATACGCCTCTTCGGATCGGACATTGTTTCGGAATAGACGTCCTTTCAGACCAGACGCCTTTTACCAGGCTCATATACTCCTCCAGAGCCAGATGCCTTTCACTGGGCTCAGATGCTCCTTCGAGCCAAACAACCCTCACCGGGTTCAGACGTTCCTTCAAGCCAAACGTCCCTTCGGACCTGTAGTGTATGATCCACCATATCTTCGAAGCCATATATCTCTGTGGATCCAACCTCATTCCTTGTAAGCTGATCATGACATGTACTACGGTGAATATTCTCAGATGGTGTCAGTTCTGACAGATCAATTTCTGTCTGTAGCTCTTGAATCTCTTCGTGTAGCTCAGAATCAGTCTCGTCACGATATATATACAAATCCACCTGCATCTGTAACTCCACCTGCTTGTCAAAGCTACTGTTCTCTGTAGCAGCTGTGGTTAAAGGTTCATCTTGGAACCTTCTTTCTGAATCAACATTAGAGAACATGCACTTCGTTCTCCGCAGCAGCATCTGATTCATCTGCTCAGATACACCATTCGGTTGTGATGTATCCGTAACTGCATGATGTTGGACAACTCCTTCATCCTTGCATAGCTGATTGAGCTCTAATGAACAGAATTTCTCACCTTCCTCTGACAGAATTTGCACCTTCTTTTCACCTATACGACCAAAGCTCTTATGCCACAGCTTTGTTATATCTTTGTGGTGAATTTCTGAAGATGCAACATTCACAGAACCTGTAGCTGTGGAACCTCCACCCATACCCTTGTGCCCTCCTCTGCTGCAGGTGAAATCACCTTCATCATCCTCATTTTCATTCAATGGAGCCGCAAATCTCTATGACAGATAACATCTTCAACTTTCTTTTTCAATTTTATCGAAAAATGTGAGATTAGACGCATATAGAATGGGAACCATCTCTATAAAAACAATAGATTTTTTTTATGAAGAGATATCTGATGTCCAATATAATTTGTTGTTATAATTTGTATCTAGTTTTTTTGTTATCAAAATGAATGTTCAGATGAGAATATTGTAAATTAATTCTTATCATGATATTTTGAATAGCATATGATTTTGATTAATATTAATTAAAATCATTAAATTGAAACTATATAATATTGATAAGAACTTTAAAATTAATTATCTAATGATACATAATTTTAGTTAAATTTTAAAATCACTTAAAATGCATAAACTAACAGTACCCAACTCAATATATCTTGGTGAAAAGGTTCTTATGTAAAAGTCTAATTATATAAAAATTATAGTAAGGAAAAAGAATGTGCGTTCTTTCAAAAAAAAAAAAAAAAAAAAAAAAGAAGAATGTGCAGTGAGCAATCATATATTCCCTTTAAATAGTCTCAGTACTGTCATTTTGAGTTTACCCTCTGTCTCCCCTATTTTTTATATTTACAGTTTTTTAATATTAGGTTTTTACTAAAATAAAAATTTCACATCGTGATTTATCAGATGGATCCTATCCATTTCTCAATTTAATAAATAATATTTCTTAAAACTTTTCTTGTCTTACTATATTCTCAGCATTTTGTAACACTAAATATTTAAAATGCAATATTTATATCTTTTTGGACTTTACATTGATATATATAAACTTTCGAATATTATTATGTTAGATACACAATTTCTAACCAGAGAGGAATTTACATAGTAAATAAAATGATATTTATCATATTTTTGTAATTCTATTAGAATTATCTACATTTTTATATGTGTAAAGCTCATATAATTGGTTTTGCATTCTTAATGAAAGTTTGTTAATAGAACTAATATAATTATATCATGGAAGAAAAACTAATAGAATTTATTTTTAAAAAATGATATCAATCTATCAATTTTATTGGGCACTAAAACATTTAGGGTCCTGCCATTGACCAATACTGTCTACCTCCCATATATCTACCATTAAGCCAATACAATTATTTAAACACTTTTGTAGAGAATTTTTTTCTACATTTGATATTTATAGAAAGACCTAAAAAGAAATAAAATCTATACTTTATCAATAATATAATTCTGAAAGGTCGTTTTGAGATATATGTGATATAATATTATAATATTTAATTTATATATGATATCTAAACTTTACCAAATACTAAAGTTTTATATTTTGATTAGTCTACATTGAGATTACATATTGTTTCATTAAAATATTTTATTTTTATTTTATGCTAAATTTATAATCAATATTAGAGCATTTATTACTTGGTCATAGGTTTTACTAGAGTTGAATTTCATAAAATATTAAATTTGGTCAAATTAAAAACATTTGACTCATTTAGAATATGTAAAGAGTAGCGAGCCAAAAGAAGTTGAACTTCTCAAATATAAATTAAATTTTCAAGCGCAAAGCTCATGGTACAATCAAGAATCTGAATAACTTTTGAATGGCCACATTATTGTATATGAATTACATACATGTATATGTATGATAGAATATATATATATATATATGTTTTCTTGGTAGTGAATGAGAGGAGGAAAAAAAATAAGAGGAGAAACAATGAGAAAAAGAAAAGTTCATAAAAACAAAAATCACAAAATCATAAAGTTTTTTCATTCTTATTGTTCTGCTCTTATATTTTTTTCCTGTCTCTCATTCACCACCAAAAAAACACATATATATATATATATATTTATGTATTTTTGTGTAGCATTTGACCATGCCAATCCGAAATGCTAAACAAAAATATAATTTATTTTTCCAGATTACAGGCCAAGAGATAGTATGGAGATATATAGAAGGCGATGGTATGAGGGTTACAAAAATATTCAGACTATTAACTCAGATTAAAAATTCTGTGAGAAGAAAATTCAGATATGATTCCAGAATTATTTGTTGAGAATCAATCCAAAGTTCCACATCGGAAGTTTAGACTAATATGGTCTAATATATAAGTAATGTCCAACTCTAATTAGTATGAGGTCTTTTGGGAAGGAGCCCAAAATCAAATCCGTGTGGGCTTTGTCAGTTGGGCCCAAAGCAAACAATATCATACTAATTGAAAAAGTTGGACATGCGTTTTTCAAGCCCAATATTATTCAGGTGAAAATTTTCATCACTATTTTCAGAATGATAGGCTAAAGTGTAAGAGACATTTTATTATTATTGTATCTCAAAAAACGTGGAAATGTTACATAAGCCTTTAACAGTCTTTTTAAAAAAAAAGCTATATTCAAGATATTTAGTTTTTTTTTTAAATAATATATATATATATATATATATATATACACATATATATGATATTTAAACTCTATAAATAAGAGTTTGATATTTCTAGTCCAGATAAAGTAACGTTATAATGCTGCCCAAAAAATAATACTACAAATAATTATTTTCTATTAAATTTACATTATAGCATTTTTTTTTATAACATCTATTTTATTAGATAGTAAAAAAGTAATACATCATGTTTACAAGCCATTTTGGCAAAGATTGAAAAACATAATACATAGCATGAAAACAACAATACATAAAATTAAAAACACAAAGCACTAAATCAAAGAAGATGAGTTTAAACGATTTTTTTCTTCGAATTTTTCTCGCTGAAAAAGTGTCCACACCTTCTTTCCTCGTAATCGCATTTGATCTAAAGCGATTTTTTTTTTTGCTATGATCCATCTTTTCTCCTGTTGTATGTTATTGACACATTTCCAAGTAAGAACTAAAAATATTCTATGAATAAGAATCCAATCTTTTGATTCTTTCCATAGAAAAAATACTTGAAATTGCCAATTTTCTACGACTGTACGTATGTCGCCATACCACAAGGAGTTTTCATCTTCCGCTCCAAACCCTTGTCCCCTCCATGGTGGTTTCCATGTTTGTTGTTCCCATAGTAATGCCATATCCGGCTGAATAGAATCATCGAAGAAGATCAAACATAAAACCCAAATTCGCCAATCATCGTTTCCATGACTCCTAACTTCTCCTATTCCCGGATCAAAAACCCAAATTACATCTCCAAACCATACAGTGGAGGATAATAAAAACTGCTGTGAGTGTTGATTTAATCTTGGATCAATTTGAGTAAATTGGTTCAAGAAAGAATTAAAATCCCAACCAAAGACTTGACGAATTATAGCATTTATTATTTGGTCATAGGTGTTACTATAGATGAATTTAATGGAAATGTTATTTTTGGTCAAATCAAAATTATTTAATATTTATAATATGTAAAAATTTGATCCAAAAGAAGTTAAAACATAAATAGAATCTCAAACCACATGATACAAACAAGAATCTGAAAAAAAGTTTGGAATCTCCAATATGATATACATTTGCATTATTAAAAAAAAATGGCACTCATTGTTCTTCTCTCAATGCTTTTTTTTGTTTCCTTCTCTCATTCACCACCACGAAAACACACACACATATATATATATATATATATATAAATATATATATATGTCATGCATTATCATTTATCATCTCATCGATCTAACTCATGCACTCAGGATCATCATCAAAATGATCTTCTCCCTCCATAGCCTCTCTTGGATTTCCGGCTTCCATATTCTGTTTTCCGCAGGGCTCCATCACATTATGTTTCTGACTTGTCGACACTAGATTCATAGAAAGTGATTGATCATGGTTGGTGTCAGGGGTTGAGTCCATCAGGGTATTAAAGGCAGAGTCATGTCCAATACACCTCGTCGAAAAAAGAATATCTTCCTTAGAAGAGCCAAAATTTCGAACCAACAGTCAATATCCATCTCATTGACGTCAATGTCAAAATAAATCAGCTCTTCGATCGGAACATCATTATCTTCCACATAAGGAACCAAAGCCATATCTTCCATATTAGTTTCAAGGGATTGGGTTTTATTGGTTTCAAAAGAAGCATGTCTTCAAGAAGAAGAAAACTTTCTTCAGAAAACAACCAATCTATCTGGTCTGTATTGGTTTCGAAAATGGTGGTCGTATTGGTTTGAGAAGAGGTTTCATAACTTGTTTGACCAGAAGCAAAACCGACATGGGAAATGACATTTTGAGAAAGAACATGATTTTCTCCAGAAGAAACCATACCCATCTGGTTACTGATTTCAGAGGGAATCATATTTTCAGAAGCAACATAGCCTTCTACTGAAGAAATATTGGTTTCAGGAACATTTATGTTCATATCAGTTTGAGGAAGAACATAATTTTCTAGGGTAGGAATCCAATCCATCTGGTTCATATTGGTTTCAGATGACTAATGTTTTCTGTTGATGGAACACAACCTATTTGGTTTATATTGGTTTCATGATCGCGAATATTATCGGTTGATGGACTCCAACTTATCTGGTCCATATTGGTTTCTAAAGTGTTCATGGTAAAGTCTAGATCTGGAAGAAAATAACTTTCTCCCATAATGCACAGATCAGCTTGAGGAACATAAGGCTCTGGTATATAAATAAAGTCTAGATCTAGTTGGTTCCAATCGATTTCAAGAACAGATGAGCTAGGTTGAAATGGGTTAGGTTCAGACTGAGGAATACAAATCCCGGAAGACTCCATCTGGAATGCATCTGTGTTAGATGCACCAACACTTGATGACAAACCATAAAGAACAGGAGGGTTATCACTACTTAAGCCACTATGGTTAGATGCACCAACACTTGATGACAAACCAGAAAGGACAGGAGGATTATCACTTAAGCCACTATGGTTAGATTCTCCAACACTTGATAGCAAACCAGAAAGGACAGGAGGATTATCACTACTTAAGATAATATGGTTAACATCATGGATAGAAAAAATATGGGAAGGTGGGTTGTTACTTGTGGCTGAAGGAGCGTAATTGACTTCCATAGGTGACTTGTTTAATAGGTTACCAAAAAGTGAGTGTTTACTCAGATCCAATTTTCCACCTAGATGAAACTTGGGCACCATCTTCGCTTTGCCCTTTTCAGCAGATTTTTTGAATGAATCTGCATACAAGAAAAACAAAAAACATTATTGACACAAAGATGTTGAATTGTGAAAAGTATATATATAGTAAAAGAACATGACTTGCATTGGTCGATGGATCAGGAGGATGCTTCCTTCTTTTTCAGAGAATACCACTTTGTGTTACTTTCAACGATATTCTTTGCTAAGTTGGATGCATTGAAAGGATATTCATAGTCTGAAGGGTAGTTGAATGTCTTATCTGTTGACCTCCATTCATTCCTCGACAACGAATGGTTCATTAGCTTAACTTGTGCTTTGTATTTCTGAAACAATTAATTATAGAATAAAACAGGTTATCATAAGGCTAGTAAAATTATATATTGAAAAAGAGTGTATATAAATGTATATATGAACCTGAAGGTGGCTACCGACTTGGCAAAGATTCAAGTCTGAGTCATTCATAATGCTCAATATGGATTTAGGACAAGAATCTGTAGGATAAAGAACTGTAATCAATTGGTAGAAAGAAGAATTGGTCAAAACAAAAAAAATCTTACCTTTTGCACCCAATATGGATATAGCTGTTAAAAATATCATTTGGCGCTCCTGGAGTCAATACATTGCATCGTCTTCCAATATTACTCTCCATATTTATTCCTTCCTCTCTCTTGTTCTCAGCCTCAGTGGGATAAACCGGTTTAGTTTTTCCTTCATCAATTGCTTTGCCTTTTCTCTTTTGGTATGTTTCAGGGGTTGTAAATGTTTTGACGAAGGGTCGTCTTCCTAACAAAGATGACTGACTTGTTCTCTGCCTCTTTATGGTTTCTCTAAGAGATTCAATCTGATTTAGTATATTTTTCTCCACAACTTTCTCTTGTTGTTCAGCGATGTTGATTTTCTTTAACTCTTGGCTCTTCTTAGGTACCACATGCTGCCATAGGTTTTCGATGTCGTTTTCAGAAATCGGCTTCGTTAGACAAAAACGTGCACTTTTTGTCAAAAGATCTGATGTTTCCTTGGTATTTATTTCTGGACTTATCACTTTAACATCAAAAAAATAGATAAATTAATCTGTGGAAGAAAGTAACAAACAGTGTAAAGAGTAAGCGCAAGAAGAATGTGTAAATGTTTGCTTACGTATAAGAGGAATTTTTTTGTGAAGCAAAGCAGTGAGAAAGGAATGTGAATCTATATGAGGCATTTCAATGTTGGCTATCACAAGTCCAGTATCCTTTTGCTTTTCGATCATCGATAAAGCCTCACTTGCCTTGTTCAAGCTCATCACTAGTACATCAATTTATATATTAAATATTTACAAAATCCAAAAAAAAACATTGTTCAAAACAATAATCAAGTTTCTTCCATTTTAGTTTTAGTTATATAAAAAAGTTGAAAAAACAATAGATTAACACGCACATTTTCGATTATATATGATGATTAGCTAACCTAATACATAATATATTATTTATATACATATTAATATTTGAAAGAAATTTTTTGGGCTAGAACCAGACATCTAACAATCTGATTATCCGATTAAAATATAGAATATATGTATTAAAACTCAACAATTATACATCTAGGGTATTCAATAAAAAATTAATAAAAAATTAGAGTTCAAATATTTTATTAAATTCTTTCTTATCGATTTTTATTTATTTACAAAAAAATATTTTAAAAGAGAAATTTATATGCGTATTATCAATTATATTTGATGATCGACTAATCTAATACATAATACATTATATATATATATATAAATATTTGAAAACTTTTTCCAGCTAATACCAAACATTCGAAATCATGTTAAGAAATCATTTCTAAATAACATCAGTTATCAAAATCTCATATATATTCCACAAAATATAGATTATACTAAAATTTAATGGTTTTTACAAAATAGTATCCAATATCTATGACATATTATTATCCAAACTAATAATCGTAGGTGATTAGGATTTTCAACAAAAGGGTTGTAAGAAAATCATCTTCAAAACTGAGATCCAAGACCAATCAGTAGCCTATAGCTTTAATATTCTGTAAATTAAATTATAAATTATAATTTTCTATGCGAATTCACATTTCTTCAAATTTGTTCAGAGATCCTGATTTATACAATGTAGAAATCTCAAGATCTAGAGACGTTGAATTATAATCATCAGGAAAATATTCAGCAAATGCTAAAATTTACCATACCAAATGTAACAAATTAGAATAATACCGTTGATATGTAAATGGAAAAATGATCAACATCAATATAAATGGTAAACAATTTTTTTTTACCTTTATACGAAAATTGCTTAAGCATTGAAGTGAGAAATTCAATTGATGTAGTGTCATTATCGATTAGCAGAACTGAAATATCACCAATGCGTTCAGGAACTATGTTTCCAGCCAAATTTACGGTCAACTTTTCAGTCATATTTTCAAAAATATATGATATGAAGGTTTGAAATAATAACCGAGTTAAGGGGAAATAAGCTATTGCATGGACGTATATAAAAGAAAGAATAGAAATTGTAGACCCAACAAGGTCATAAATTGCAAACAACACCAGATGAAGAAAACTATTTTAATTTCTATCAAATATATTTCATTTCATCATTGACCCTACCTATAATATATTTTTTTAACTCTAAAAATATACCCAGTCTAAAGTATAATCTATTAGTTTATATAATTCAAAATCTTATCAAACACATGGTAAATGATATTATAGCATTGGTAGTGATAAATATAATTATTTTGGGAATATTATAGTGTTTCTTGACCGATATAATTTGAGAATTTACACGATAGTCATCGACTTAAAAATCCATATATAGTTAGTTGTTATTTCATTTATAAATTTTGACTAGAAATATACAATTAGTTCATTTTTTATACAATGTTTTAGAAAATGATTAATTAATTAACAAAAAGTAAACATAGAAAATTTTTGTATATGCATAAAAGATTTTTCATAGAAAAATTTGGTGGAATTATGTTTTCTCTTTTTTCTTATAATTAGATAATATTTTTATTTCAGTCAGGAAAAAATGTAGCTACAGATGTGTTTTAGATTTATGGAAGCGTAAAATATTCTTAATATGTAAAGTAATATAAGTTCTCTATATATTACACAAAATATAATTCAAATTTTGTTAATAGTTTTGATATCAAAAGTTATTCATGCATGCGTTTTACAATTCGATCCTTACCTTATTTCGAGTACAATAGGCATGTGACTGGTCAAGTTTTTAAACTCTTAAGTAACTTCCATAATTACGTAGAAACTCAAAAAAATTCAAGAATAGAATAAGGTTCATCTTTTTATAAATGTTTAATTTGAAACGTATGCTAACACTTTAAAATAAAGTATTGATAATTATATGTTGTGATGTTGTGTAATGTATAACTAATGCTCGTTTAGTAGTGAACTCGTGATCAATGATGGACTCCAGCTACAAGTTTGTTTTCCTTCCGATCTGTTCACTACACTACAAGAAAGAAGACCTTTTATATTGGAAGATATCGACGTAAAATCGACGTAATGGGCCATTTACGTCAAATTAGTGACGAATGAAAAATTATCGTAAAACAATCATCGTAAAAGAGAAATCGTCGTAAAATCTTCGTAAATTACCAACACAATAAAATCGTCAGAAACAATTCGTCGCAAAAACGACGTAAACGTTCCAACGAAAGTACGACGAATTAATTTTAACACAACAACGACGTAAAATCGATGTAAAATTACATCGGATTTACAACAATTTCGAGACGATCTATTTCGCAAAAGTCAAATAAATTTATTATAGATCGACGTAAAATCGTCGTAATATATCGACGTAAAGTCGACAAAAAGTATATGGACGTTTTAAAATATTTGCCTTTAATTAGACGTAAATTTACGACGAGTTTACGTCGAATTAGAAAAATAATTATTAAAATTGGATTTTAATTTAATTATTGAATTTTTAAAATAATCAAATAAAGGAAAATTTAAATTTAAATTCGAAAATAATTCATAAATTAAAATACAAAATTAAATACAATTTAAAAAAAATAAAAACTAATCTACACAGTAAATTCATAATCGTCGAGGTTGAGATCGACGTCTCGAGGAGGCTCTCCGTCATGTCCGTCCGTCGCTGTTGTACCATCGTTTCCCGTCTGCACTACGGGATCCGAAGTCTGACCCTGCGTCTGCTGGTCAGAAGGTCCACCCGCAATAATCCTGTGTGCTCGCCGTTGCCTCTCTCGAAAGTGGATCGTGAATATTTCTAATCCGTTTTTGAAGTCTTCAGTCAATGACCCATCAACATTTTTGGGCGTATACATCCACTTTCGTAGATCGTATATAGACATTTAAAAACAAATAAATGACTTTTTGTTTTTGAATTTTGATATAAATTTCAACTACTAAAAATTTTACTCAAACATTCAAAGACTCAAAAAATTGTGTCTTTATATGTTTTTTTGGTTGATGGAATAATGAGAGAAGAAATGGTATATATAGATTTTTTGTTTGGTTACCAACATATTGCCATTGAATATTAACATCAAATTTACGTCGAAATAAAATTTACATTATATTTACATCGATATTACGTCAACTACAAGATGGAGGCCAATTCATCGTATTATCGATGTAAAATTTACGACAATGTTACGACGAAATGTAATTCGTTCTTTATTCGTCATAATGTTGTCGTAAGTTTATGACGATTTTACGAGAATACTATTTTATATCGAAACGACGAAATATTTTGACGTCGTACGTAATTTCGTCGTAAATTTACTACGACCATAAATCGACGTAAAAAATTCGTTGGAAATGTCCCTCTTTCTTGTACTATACAAGGATTCATAAATAATGAAGCTGTTTTGTTCGGTGAGTGCATTAATGTGAGTTATACAAAATTTACATTGGTTACAAAATTAGGAGACCATCTCCATCGGTTTGTTAGGTAATTTAGATAATAATAAAAATTAAGAAATGATTAAAAAGTTAACAATTCGGGTTGTTAGGTTGTTGTGGAAGAACCCAGGAATATATAAAAACGTGGCACCATGTCATTGGTGGAAGATTTTTTATGTGTGTGGGCTAAAAATCAGGAATAAGCCCACATAAAAATTCTTAATTTTTTTAATTAAAAATTCATAATTAAAAAAATTTTAAGAAACCCAATCCCAGGTTTAGGGATGGAGATGTTTTGCGTGAGTACATTTTCTCTTTCTTATATAAAGTGGATCCACCATAACTCCTAAACTAAATGAGACACACGATGAGGCCGCATACAGTGTGGAGAAGGTACACAAATTCCGCATTATCGTTATAAAAGCTATGCGAAGTCTTTAAAAATTATCTACCGTTCTAATAACTAACTAAAGTAATCACGAGAAATAGTAGTTGGATAACAAGATTTTTTTTGTCTTTCTGCTAAGGGCGAAAAAAGTAATGTAACCTGAGCTCTTTTGCATCTCTTCTCCGGCGATGCCGACAGCGTCGGTCTCATCCTCTTCTCCTCATGGGGTAGAAAAAACAACCCAAAAAATCTCCACCATCCAAACCCTTGTGCCCTCCTCTGCCGCAGGTGAAATAACCTTCACCATCTTTGTTTTCACTCAATGAAGCCGCAAATCCCTTTGCTCACTCAGTGGCGGGGGATCCTTCGTCTCTAGCACAGCAAATCCTTACTGATTCTGATTCTCTAGCCTCGACTGACAGCAACTCTCGCTCAGATCCAATTGTGATAGTTCCTGCAACAGTCCAAGCCCCCAAATATCATTTATGTAAAAGTTGTTGAGACAACAGATCCAGAACTGAAGAACTCATCAGTAGAGGCACCAATTGTCCCGACAATCCCTGCCTCTGAATCTGTTTCCGTGAAATAGTCTTTGGCTGCAGTTCCGGAAATCCTAAAAAGTTCAAAACCCACTGTGAGTGATTTGTGGTCAGGATTATTCAAAGGTGCTACGAAGCAACTGCAGAAGAAAGGCACAACTTTTACCTTCCCATCCGATGAAGCTTATGTGAAGATTCTCAAATATGTAATCGAAAAGAACAAAAAATCCTGGGAAAGTTTCATCTGTGGGCAATTATACACAGATACGCCCTCCCAGAAAACTGTTCATAACATCGTGAATGGAATTTGGAGTAAGCATTTCTGTGATATTACAGTATCAAAGATAGAGGGCAATACCTACCTTTTTCAGGATACCAAATCCTTCCACTCGACAATGGGTTTTAACTCAGAGATTATGGCAGATAGAAGGTAAAACGATGTTTGTCACGAATTAGGAGTCTGGCTTTGTTCCATTGAAGCCCGAGCTCTCGTTGTCCCCTATTTTGCTGAACTAAGAAATGTTCCTCTACAGTTCTTCAATGAAGACGGCTTTGAACACATTGCGGGATTTGTTGGAGAGCCAAAATGTCTCCAGCCTATAACTGCAAACAAGACAAATCTGTAAGTAACGAAGGTATTCACGATAACTGATCCTCGTAAACCTCTTTCAGAAGTTGTCAATATCCAATTTGATTCTGGAGAGATCAATAGAGTTTTAGTGTCCAGTCTGTGGATGCCACCACTGTTTTAGTTCTGTAAGAGGTGAATCATCATCTGAGGCAGTGCAATGAAGCTCCAATCTTTTGCAAGAAGTGCAACTCAAAAATTCACGTGGAAGAGAATTATGCAAGAACCGTCCTACCTGAACAAAATAATCCAAACTCCCATAGAAACAGAGCCAAGGGATTAGCTGGAAATACTTAGAAGTGGGTTAAAGTTGCTGAGAAATCATCTGCCAAATCTGTCAAGTTTACTGAGTCTTCACTGGGGAAAGAAAACAAATCTTCAAAGGGAGAGTTCAGTGGCGCTGTGGTCTGGTACATCTTCAAGGGAAGATCGACGAAAATGTTAAAGGTCCTCCTATCCCTGACACAAAAAAATCATCAGGAGTGGAATCAGATTCTTCGGACGTTGCTTTTGTGGACTTCAGCAATGTTGTAAACCTGCAGGGTGAGCAGAGTGAGTTCGCAGAGGTAGTTTCAAAAAAGAAGAAGAAGGATAAGAGGGACAAGAGCCCCAACAAAAGCAGCTTAATAAATGGTTGAAGAAAAACAAACCGTTTTATGAGAGTATTATAGAAACCCATGTGAAACAGCCTAAATGTAGGAATTTCATTAATAGATCGCTTCCCGGCTGGTCTTTTGAACAGAATTATGATTTCTCCATTTAACAAGTGTAAAGGCTGTTGTGGTGGCTAAGTCTTTGCAGATGATCACCTACAAAGTTATGTTTCCTGATGTGCAGCAGTGGGTTATTTTGTCAGTGATGTATGTTTCTACAGTTGAGACTCTGAAAAAGGATCTTTGGGCAGAGCTGATTGTTTTGTCTTCAAGCCAGACTGTTGAAGAAAAAGAATGGATGGTCATTGAGGAATTTAATCAAGTTCTCCATCTACATGAGCATTCAAGAGCTATTACTCTTAATGTGGATAGGAGGACAAGAGAATTCAGGCAGTGTTTGTTGTCGGCTGAGGTGTCAGATTTGAACTACTGAGGAAACACATTTACTTGGTGGAATAAATGTAGTGCCAGGCCAACTGTGAAGAAGTTGGACCACATTCTTGTAAATGAGGTTTGATCTACTTTTTTCCCCTCTTCATATGCAATATGTGGAGAGCATGGTTTTTCAGACTATGCTTCTTGTGTTGTCGTCTTGGAGTTGGGTTCTCAAAGGCAGAGGAGACCTTTTAAATTCTACAAATTTTGCCTCCAGAACCAAGACTTTTACCCTCTGGTTTGTGAACATTGGTTCTCATGTAACATGGTGGAATCAGCAATGTTATGTCTCTCAAGGAAGCTTAAGCTTCTGAAAAATGTCATATGTAGATTCAGTAGAGATAATTTCTAGGATTCAGAGAAAAGAGTTATTGAAGCTCATGAGAAGCTTTTGCTTTGCCAGTCTTAGACTCTAACTGATCTGTCTCGAACAAATGCAAAACTGGCGTTTGAAGCACAAAGAAAGTGGCAGATCCTGGCAAGTGCTGAAGAGTCCCTTTTCTGCCAGAGATCAAGTGTAACCTGACTTAAAGAAGGTGATTGTAACACTTCTTATTATCACAGAATGACTGCATCTAGGAAAGCCATAAATCACATTCACTTCCTTATTGCACCAGATGGAGAACATTTTGAATATCAAACAGGAGTTTAAGAGCATTGTGTTGATTATTTCTCACACTTTATGGGTTGTGAGGTTGGTCCCCAGATGCTGATCTAGTCGGATATGGAGCTCCTCCTTCCATTTTGATGCTCTCAGGCCCAAAAAGAGAGTATGATAAAGAGCTTCTCGAAGGAGGAAATCAAACACCTGCTTTTCTCATTGCCAAAAAACAAAACCAGTGGACCTAATGGGTATTCCGCTGAGTTTTTCACCTGTTACTGGAGTATTGTAGGGCTGAGGTATGTGAGGCAGTTGAAGAATTCTTCCGATTTGGAAAGCTGCTTCAGCAATGGAACACTACAACTTTGATCCTCATTCTCAATATCACAAACGCCTCTTCAACATCTGATTTCAGGCCAATATCCTGTCTCAACACTATTTACAAAGTCATATTCAAGTTATTGGCAACCAGATTTCAGAAGATCCTGTCTCAGGTAATATATCCCTCTTAATAGGTTTTCATGCCAGGTAGGCTGCTTGCAGAAAACGTTCTACTGGCTACGAAAATTATGCATGGCTATAACTGGAGGAACATCGATTCCAGAGCAATGCTTAAGGTGGATCTTAGAAAGGCATTTGATTCAGTAAGATGGGACTTTGTCCTCTTGACCTTAAAAGCGTTGGAGTTATCAGAAATATTTGTTAAATGTATCAGTCAGTGCATCACAACTCCCTCGTTTACAATTTCAGTTAATGATATCACCAGATGCTACTTCAAAAGCGCAAAAGGATTAAGGCAAAAAGACCCTCTCTCTCCTTACCATTTTTCCTTGCAACGGAGGCCTTCTCAGGATTTTCCACTCTAGATTTGAGGCTGGGTATATCCATTACCATCCCAAGACGGCAGAACGGAACATATCTCACCTGATATTTGCAGAGGACGTGATGATTTTTTTTATGGTGGGAGTTCATCGTTACACAGCATAACTGAAGGATTAGAAAACTTTGCGTCTTGGTCAGGATTGCACATGAACAGAGACAAGACTCAACTATTTCAGGCATGAGTAAACCACATTGAATCCACTGCAATGGCAAGCTATGAATTCACTGTAGGTTCACTATCAATCCAATACTTGGGTCTTCCCCTTATGCATCGTAAACTGAGACTCTCTAAGTATGACCTCCTTTTGGAGAAGCTTGCTAATATATTCAGATCTTGGGCTGTTACAACCCTCTCATTCCCAGGGAGAGCTCAGCTGATTGCTTCAGTGATATTAGGAACCGTCAACTTCTAGATTTCCACGTTTATGCTCCCCAAAGGTTGTATTAAAAATTGAATCTCTGTGTGCTAGGTTATTGTGGTCTGGTAGTATTGTGACAAGATGAGGAGTAAAAGTAGCATGGTTTACTGTGTGTTTGCCTAACTCTGAAGGAGGTCTGGGCCTGAGAAAATTTTCTGTGTGGAACAAGACGCTATGTCTGCGGTTCATTTGGTTACTATGCTCTGAAAGTGGATATCTCTAGGCTGAATGGCATATCAGAGCTTCTGGTTGGTGGAGGCATATTCAGCTGATTCATGGACGTGGAAATCTCTATTGGATCTTAGACCATTGGCTGAAATGCTCTTAGGAAATCTGTTGGAAATGGACGAAAAACAAATTTTTGGTTGGATTTTTGGACACCTCTTGGTCCACTAATTAAACTTCTGGGTAATGATGGCCCGAGAAATATCAGGCTCCGTCTTTCTGCTATAGTCGCAGATACATGCACAATGGAGACTTGGAGAATCCCATCGCCAAGATCTGTAGCACAGCTGAGTCTCCATATGCACCTAACGACTATCAACTTACCTTCTTCCTCTCAGATCGAAGATGACTGTTTTTGGTTGGAAAATGGTGTTAAGTGCAGCCAGTATTCCTCCTCTAAGACTTAGGATGATCTAAGGCCACAACAAGGTGAAACAGTGGTCTAAGCTTGTATGCTTTAAAGATTGTGTTTCGAGGCAGGCTTTCAATATATGGATTGCACACTTGAATAGGCTCCCCACTAGAGCCAGAATAGCTTTTAGAGGAACAAATATATTCACAGATTGTTGTCTTTGTTCCAGAGACGAGGAAACGAGAGATCATTTGTTGTTCAGTTGTGCTTATAGCTCGGAAATCGGAAATCTGGAGGCTGATACTTACAAGGTTAGACCATACCCAGAGTCTGTTCATCTTGTGGTCGGAGTTGTTATCATGGATAAGTATGCGTTCTGATGCTGCCCCTTATACCTGAAAGGTGGTGGCTCAGGCTATGGTTTACCACATTTGGATGTCAAAGAAACAATTTGCTGCACAACTAATAAAGGATTCCTGCATCCAGCATTTTCAAGTCCATTGATCGTGTGACTCGAAACACCATTACTACGAGAAGACAAAGACGTTGCTTTAGCAACTTTAATGTCTCTTTGGCTTCAATGAAACAATATAAAATCTAATTTACTGTGTATTGTTCTCCTTGTTTTTTATTTCTTTTTTGCCAAGGAAGTTTTGTAACAGGTTAGCATCTTTTATAACCTTCTTTTCATTTTAATGATATTAACATTCATAGCAAAAAAAAAAAAAAAAGAAATGGTACTTGCAATGTTTTACACCATGTTTGTGTTTTAAAAATATTTCACACTACATATTCAAAGTTATAATGCAGGATACAATTTGTTTCTAGTCGAAAAGGTCAAAAATATCCAAATTTTTTATGTGGTGTTTTCAAGAATTATGCTTTTAAGAGAATTTAAGAAAATCGGACTATTCTATCGAGATACTATAACTTATTCAACAGAATATCTAAAGCATTTGTTCTGAAAGCAAGAATTCTAGATGCTCTTCTCCCCATTTGTTTTTGGTCGAATGCCACAAAAGATGTTGAGAATTAGGCACAAGAACCGGGTTCAATAAGTTGACAAATACCAAACCGAGGACCGACGTGGAATCGTGGAGAAAAAGTTACATTACAATAAAGATAAATAAAGAAAAGGGAAGATGACGTAAAGCTCAGATTTGGAGCCTAACGAACTCCACGTCACCGCCTAAGTTCATCCATTGAAATTTGACGGCGTCTTCTACTCTTCTATCATAACCCTTCGTTCTTTCATGTGAACCACGTCACCGCCATTCTCTTTTTTTTTTCTTTCTTAATACATTTCTCAATATGCGTCCAATATCATAAATATAATATATATATATATATACAATTTAACCTATTAAGGCATTGCAACTTGTAGTGAACTTTCAAAGGAACTTGCATCCACAAATTTAAACATTTTTGCATGTTGTAGAATTGAACACGAATAATAAAGTGTGTATTGATGATACACTTGTGTTACTTATTTGACAATTTATTTGGTTTTCTTAGAAAAACTGAAACTGGCTTATACAGTATGTTTGTACACATTTTTTGTATTCGAAGAAATTGGGGCATCATACAGTGACATTGCTATTAATGTTTCTTCTATATCAAACCAAGTGATAACAAAATATAAAAAGTAATAATGTTGACTTGTAAATAAAGTAAGAAAATTAAATTCTGTCATTTCAGAAGAGGAAGTATGTCACATGTATAATAGATCATCGATACTTTTCATGAGAACTTCCACAAGAAAGCCATTGACTTCTTATACCTTTCTCAATTTTCCAGCTTGACCCATTTTTTTCTTTTGAAGTTATGAGAACTTTATGTATAAAAACATTTTAGACTAGACCTCAAGAAAATTCAGATATTTTTATAATTTGTGAAAAAAATGTTGAAATAAATTGATTGGATTATTTCTATTACTAACGTTAATCCAGTATTATGGTGGTCTATATTATTATTATAGCCACCTATACGGAATGTTGATGTGCCAAACAATGGAGACACACATTGTGTACTTGGATTAATGAATAAAATGACATGTATCAGTCTATGGGACACATAGTAAACTAGATTATTTCATACCTAAAATGCTATAATATTTGATTGATAAATGATAAGAACAAAGAAAAGTTCTTGCAAGTTTGAAAAAAAAAAAGAGAATATCTTGACTCGTGCGGATCTCAAACTTTTCTTTTCTATCCTCTTCTCAAATTATATTCCAAGTAAAACACGCAATTACCATAAGAGTTAAACAATATAAAAAGAGTTCTCAACTAAATCTTCCAAAAGAGGCTTTCTCTTATGGTTCACATGTAAGTATATACTTTAATTTACATAAAATTTAATTTAACGAATCCTAATGAGCCTATTTTCTGAACACGTACAAATCAATTTAATGCATATCTTCACATTTACACAAGAATAAAGAAACTACACATATTTTTACTCCATTGCTTCTGAATTTATATAATTCTTTCCATTTAATATGATTGAGTTTTTATCCCTCTAACAAGGAAAAATATTATATATAGATACAAGGAAAGCCCATTTCATTATCTATCTTCTCTTTGATTCAGCGAGCGAAATAAAAACAAAAGGCCAAAAATGGGTGCAGACGCAATCCAAACGAACGGTCACGATCCCGCCAAGTTAACCGCCGCGAGAGGGATCCAACGGTTGAGATGCGCCGTGAAGAACTACGAGTGGGGCAAACTCGGACCGGACTCACTTGTTGCGAGGCTCCACGAGGCGAATTCAGGGGACCGAGTCGACCCGGTGGTTCCTCACGCCGAGTTGTGGATGGGTACTCACGAGTCGGCACCGAGTTACGTTGTGAAGGAAGAAGAATTCGGGTCGGGTCGTAATGGATCCGAATGCATGGTTACATTGAAATCATGGGTTTTGGATTATCCGAATTTACTCGGGTCTAGAGTCGTGGACAAATGGGGTTGTGATCTTCCTTTCCTCTTCAAGGTATTATATTTTAAAAGTTTCCAATTAAAACATGTATATTCAAAACCTTCTTTCAAAAAAAAAAAAAAACATGTATATTCAGATTCTGTTTATGGTAAATCTTTTTGTTTTTCCAGTTTTGTCTCATACATAATTGTTCAGGAACAAAAGTATTATTTATTTGATCCTAAGATTCTCATTTTGAATATTTTTGCTCTGTTTTGAGGATTTTACTTTTTGACTCTGTTTTCTTATAAAATTTCTAATTAAAAGTCAAAACATATATATATATATATATATATATGTATTTTTTTGTAATTTCAGATTCTGTGAATTGTCAATTTCTCCACTTTTTATATTTACATATATTATATATACAGCCAATTTGTCTTGTTAGATACATATATATTTTGGCTCTGTTTTGAGGATGATACATTTTAACTCTGTTTTCTCAATTTATAAAAATGCATTTCTTTTTCTCTGTGTGTTTTAAATTTAAAACATAAAGGTTTGATTCTAATGAATAAGAGTTTGATGTTGAAATGTGCAAAAAATAAAAACAGGTTTTGTCAGTGACGAAAGCATTGTCGATTCAAGCACATCCAAACAAAGCCTTAGCAGAGAAATTGCATAGAGAAGATCCTCTTCTTTACAGAGATGCTAACCATAAGCCTGAGATTGCTCTCGCCATTACTCCTTTTCAAGCTCTTTGTGGTTTCGTATCTCTTAATGTACTAGATTCTTCACTTCTCTGCAAACATCTAATTTAGTCGGTTTTTGATTTAGATAACTTCGGTTATTTTGCCTATCACATATGCTAAATCCAAAATTGAACCGGTTCTGTACCACTTTTGATATCAAATTCAGGAGCTGAAGGAAGCCATCGCCAATGTACCAGAAATCACAGAGCTTGTCGGAAGTAAAGCAGCAGATCAAATCTTCAAAGTCAACGAACACGATGGAGACGAAACAAGTGTTAAATCCGTTGTCCGTTTGATTTTCACGCAATTGATGTCTGCAAACATCAATGATACAAAGCAAGTCATATCACAGATGAAGATTCGTCTGATCTCAGAAACAAACCACCGTGAGTTATCGGAGAAGGAGAAGTTAGTATTGGAACTAGAGAAACAGTATCCAGGTGACGTGGGCGTGATCTCAGCATTCTTCTTTAACCACGTCAAGCTTAATCCCGGAGAGGCTTTGTATCTTGACGCCAACGAGCCACACGCTTACATTTCCGGCGACTGTGTTGAGTGTATGGCGGCTTCAGACAACGTTGTTAGAGCTGGTCTCACTCCGAAACACCGCGATGTTCAAACTCTGTGTTCTATGCTGACCTACAAATTGGTAACTTTCTTTACACGTTAACGTTTTTTTTGGTTTAGTTGGCTAGCAAAATTTGGATTGTACCCTAACCCTAACCAAAACCGAAAATTTATTTTTCTTTGTTTGGTTATTGATTAATTGTACCGGATTTGTTTCAGGGCTACCCGGAGATTTTGAAAGGATTTCCTCTGACTCCATACATTACGAGATACCTTCCACCATTTGATGAGTTTGAAGTGGACCATTGTGATCTTCCTAGAGAGAAATCCACTGTTTTTCCGGCCATACCAGGGCCATCGGTTTATCTGGTTATTGAAGGAAAAGGGACATTGAAAACCGGTTCATCTCAATTGTTGGTTAAACGAGGAGATGTTTTGTTTGTTCCGGCACATAACGAGATTCACGTAACCGGAGAAAGTGATGTGATGAAGCTTTACAGAGCTGGAGTCAGCAGCAGATTCTTTCAAACAATGTAGACTAAGTAAAGATACATATATATATATTTAATTTGTTATCTAAATGTAACCATAGGGATCAAGGCATTGACGTGATCATAGTCAATATTGGTCCATGTTCTTTAATCCTACAAATGTCCCATTACGAATCAAGGGTTCAAGGGGTTGTTTTTCTATTAACTTTTGTTGTTTCTTCTACACCTTTAAAATTGAATTATATATGTAAAATGATTATAAAACAATGTTTTTTTTTTTACTTTTTGCTATTGTAGTGTAGTAACTAGTAATTATTCTTCCTTTACCTGTTTAAACTTTAATTTCTAGAACTACTCTGCAAAAGCACATTTGTTCAGTTGTAATATGTAGAGATCGAACCACAGAGACGAGAAATTCGCTCAATAAACCTAATAGACTCTAATTGCGCTAAGAAGAAATAATGAAATTGAGAGCAGCAATGCAATAAAAAACGGTTTTAAATTCGATGGGAAAGAATTAGGCTCAGGGTGTTTCACAGAAAATCAGAGAATGCAGACAAATCGATTAGTCATGATTCAGATTTAAGCGCAATTCTTGAACTCAAATCACGAAATTATAATTAACTAACTTTTGTTGCGAAAATTATTTAAATCTAAATCCCAGAATCCCAATTTTCTTTGCAATCCTAAAGATATAAATTAGCCTTAAGTGCAGGTTCGATATGTTCACAAAGTGTCTAAACCAATTTTTTTTGTGGATAGCTACTTTGCTCATCCTAGGTTCTTTCGGATTATTCAATTACAGTTTCGTGTCAATCAATTAACCTAAGATCTAAGTTCTAGGTGATCAGTCCAAAATTAGCTTTAAGAATAATCTATGGTGAATTACTAATCAGATTATGACCCCTAACTAATTAATTATCTAAAATTCAAAGGGATCCCTTATGAGAACCCTAAACCTAACAAACAAACTACTCAAATATGGAGATTGAATCAATAAACATGAATGAATAGATTGCAGAAAGCAGTAAAAAGATTAATAAACAGAGGTTCAAAATCTTCTCTCAAACAAACAGAGTCTCAGACTTGTCTCCCTAAAAGCTCTCTCAAGATCAATAGAAATCAAAAGTCTCAAAGAAAATCTAGAGTGTAGCCAAAACACGTGGCTGAAAACCCTATCAAAAGCTAAAACACATGTTGGACTTCCCTGTAAATATTGGAGACTTCTGGGCTCAAGAGATTCTTTAAAACTTAGACAAAATCACGTTTTTCCTTATTCACGACATTGGTGTCGAGCAACACCAAAACATATAAATCATCTTTCACGAATTTGATCCCTGCTTAGTTCCAAAATGCTCTAAAATCTCCAATTAAACTCCAAATACATTTAAGACCTGAAAAGACTCCAAAAAATTAAAAAAACACTAAAGAGACTCTATAAATAAAACCTATCATGATCAAAAACCATAAAAAAAAACCATGATATATCATTCTCCATGATAAGCATTTTTCGAATGGTCTGAGTCGAACAAAACAATGTTCTCTAAAGTATAAGGCCAATTCTTTTTGCCTCCCTCGTCACTTACCTTTTGTTTGTGGCTTCCATGGCATAGACTAGAGAGATGACCCCGAGAAGACCTAATCTAGCACGCATTTGTTTGGATGTTGCTAATGTTCCGTTTTAAAGTACATATGCAAAGATCGTGGAAAGTAAAACGAACTCAATCTTAAGTCTTGAGACAATGATTTTTGCCAATTTTCCGGTAAGCTTTCCCGGTGAAATCTTTCACTGGAATGACCTGATTATGGATGCGCTGGAAACTTGAGTACTATAACGTGATATACTTATATGTCAAAATCGAATTTAAACTGAATGAGAAATGAGGATTCTTAGAGAGTATAGCTTGAAAGCTTAAAAATAACATAAGTTACCAAATGACAAGTGTGATTTGTCCCACATTAGCAATTCAACGTTACATTTTGAACGTAGTGTTACGTTCTCCCCTTGATAATACTCAATAGATCTGCTTCTAGCCTGTCCCAACAATCTGATTCGGATTGAGAATTGCGGTTTTTGCGAACGTTGTTAAAGATTTCCAAAAAAAAAAATATTTCATTACGGCTTTTCACATCAAATCGGAAAAACTCTGCTTAGTTTTAACTTTTTAGGGAATTTGATAAATATTTGACAAACTTTGTGAAAATAACTTTTGGAGTAGCAAAATTCCGCAAAAAAAAAAAAAAAACTCAGAGTAAACTTACTGACAAAAGAAAAAAGTTTCCTCAAGTTGGTTTAGTCGCATTCCTTTTGTCAAGCACTTAATCCACTACAAAGACGTTTTGTTGTAATTTAACCGAACTGAACAATCATTCCAAATCTTAATAAGCAGCTAAAGAGAGACATTGAGAGACCAAGATAAACCGGTTTACTTGCACCTACTTGCTGTTTGTTAAAGCTTTGGTTACAAAATGTGAAACGATTCCAACCGGACAGAAGAGAAGGCACAATGAAACCGAATGCCTCGTCTCAATCTTATTCTCTAGCCCATCATTAAAAACTTGCCTGCAGAGAAACACTCAAAACATGAGTTATAAGAAACATGCTAGGATCAATCAGAACCTGAAAAGTGCAATATAGTACCTTGCAGCGAAAAGATCTATAACAAGAAGATGAATCCAAGCAGAAGCAAGAGTCATTTCACTTGAGAACATTTTCGCTATTCCAGACAACTGCAAATGAAAAAAAAAAAAAGAAATTTTAGAAACTGGAATGTACACATTTTCTTGTTTTCGATATTTCCTGATAATTGGAGGAAAAAGCTAAAACCTCTGGCAACATGTATTTACTGGAAAACATGTATTTGAGAGTATCAGGCGTCCAAGAAAGGTATAACAAATACGCGTATAATACGCCTAAGACGATATACGGTATGCTACTCTCCATACACTTTTTGGTCTGCACAAGGAGAAAACATACACTCAATTCAATATGAACTTTTTTGATTCTGCACAAGAAGTTGTAAAACTGCTAAACAAAAACTCACAATTTCAGCTTTTGGAGCTACAACCATTAGAGTGTAAAAGGGTAAAACAGCGGTTGTTCCAACCGCAAATACACTGCTTGCAATCTGAGAAGTAGCTATCCCTGCACAAGAACATGTTATGTCTCTGTCCTACTTTCAATTTAAACATTGAAGAGCTATAGATTCTAGACATATATCAAGCCTCTTTTTGGTTTATAATGTTTCAGTTAAGAGACATTACATGAAGCTCGTACACCAGAGGATTTCTTTTGAACAAGAGAGGACGAGTTCGATGAAACATTAGGGAAAAGTGCGATTTTTGATCCTCCGATAAAGCTCCAACGATTCTGAAGTCGAATACTTGACGAACCAACGCATAGTTTAGACTTGACATTGCTGAGAGAAAGACTTGTTATCGAGCTCTTAGCTGAAATGTTGCGATTCATCATCTGAATCACCAAACAAAATGAATCAATCTGATGAAATATAAAAAACTTCTTTATTTCTTAAAATTTAGGAATCTGAGACCAAAAGCACTTTGATCTGAACAACAACGAATCAGGAACAGAGTTAGGTTCTGTAACAGGGACCCATGAGGAGTAAATTCAACTTCTTTAATGTCTGCGTCAATTCGATCTGATTCAAAGGATAAAACTTTAAGGTTACCCATAAGGAATCTGAACTATTCGAAATTGTAGAAAGCTCGACATAAGAATCTAATCCGACAATCTCCAACAACTGTACATACATACATACATACATACATACATGATACATACATACATACATACACACACATAGATATAGACATATATCTGCGTATACCGAAAATTGGAGAAGAATTGAAAAAGGAAGAGAAAAGGTAGATACCGAGAGAGATGAAGAAGACAAAGGCTGGGAAATGCAAGAAGATAAAGCCATCTGCGATTCAAATCTTCAATAGTCTTTGCCAGAATTTGGCCATTCATTACCTTCTTCAACGAGCTCTCTCCATATATATATGTAAAGTATCAATTTTTAGAGAGGAGAGTTGAGAGTTTTCCACTGGTTGAAAAGGGTAAGTGGAGAAGAAGCTAAGAGAAAAAGTGCTCACTCACTCTTTCTTCATCAGTGTGGACAATTATAGTTGCTCATCCACCCGAATTTTTTAAAAAAGTTTTGGTCTTTTTTAGTTTTCCTCGTTTACTTCTGTTTCGCATAAACAAAAAAAAAAGAAAAAACCATTATGAGTTTGAGTTAATTTTAAAGAGAAAATCAAATTTAAAGATTCTTTATATTGTATGTTCAAAATTGCAATATATTATGGAAAAAAAGAGAAGATTTTTTCCTAATTTTAGATAAAAACCTTTAATAAAAATCAAAAAATTATTAAGATATTAATTTAACCTTATATTTTAGATATTGTTCTTTTTCTGGTCAATATAAAAAATTACAGTTTACCATTCTTATATAAAAAAAAATTAATTAGACTCAAATGGAATGTTTTTATTTTTTTAACAAGAATATAACTTTCATAGAACCTAATACCCAAAAAAAAAACATTTGACCCGACTAAATTAAAATTCAAGGAAAGATTGGAGCTTTGATCCTTTACTCGATAAAAAAAAGGTTCTTCATTGTATGATCAAATGACTTGTCGGATTGTATTTGTAGGTGGCTCATCGTAGGATTAATAGCTTCTCGGATTTTGTTATCCTTGTCTTGTGTTTTGCTTTTTCCGTGAAGATCAAAATTTTCTTCTATACATTCCTGCTATATATTCCATCATGTTCTACCGGTTACACTTATAAGCCTATAAGGATATCTAATCTACTTTTTTATTTGATAAAAACCTAATATCTTTGTTAATGGATATTTGTGCTTAAACTGAATTTAGACACAACACAGGTCTAGTTCAGGACAGAACAAGACAAAAGTGACAGTGCTACTTCTACTCAGCAGTGGTTGTGACTTCCTCTAAAGACAAAAGTTGGTGTTTCCACCATTATTTCGGTTTTGCTTTTATTATATATTTTATTTTAATTTATTTTTCGCTACATGAGAATTGCATTAACGAAGGACATTATATATGAAAACAAAAAAAAACAATAAAAAGATATACATACATGTGTCTGACACTCATTGTTTGTGAAATCAGTTGGGAGTAAGATAGCGCTTGAGTGGGCTATTTGGTATGATAGCTTCTCTCTATTGATGGGCCTTATTGACCCACCCCACTTCAGTTTTGTTTAGTCATTCACAACAAGAAAAACATGAAAACAAAAGCAACACTTGTCTTTTCTATCTCTCAATCTGTAAGTGGTATATGCGCATTTCGTTGAATTCGATTGAGACCAAAACTCTTTTAAAACATAATGTATAGTTCTTAGGATTATATGGGGAAAATATATGATGTCTCAAAGATTTTTCATAACATATTATATTCCTTATAATAAAAGGTCACCTGGGGTTTTTCTATAAACCGGGGTTTTTTTATAAACCGCCGGCTTTTCTATAAACCGCCGGCTTTGTCTCTGGAGATGTTGTATCATCTGCCGGCTTTGTGTAATCCGTTGGCTTTGCTCTGTAACACTATGGTGATCAATATAATAATATTCAATGAAAAAAAAAAAAGGTCACCTAAATAATTAAAAATTTGAATTTTTACGACTCATATTTCTATCCTATTCCAAAGCTAGGAAAACAACATAAAGAGTTACAAATTCTTACTATATAGTACTTCCAACAATATCTTTATGTAAATTTGTGCCAAGTCATTTTGAGTGGAAAATGTAGAATATATGATCCACAAGATCCTTGAATATACTTGGGTATATAGAAATAAAAATGAATATCCGAGACTCTTATCTACAAGCCTATCCTTAAGAAGGCACGTCCACGAATGTTTCTATCACAGATTTTCAGTGGGCCATCATCTATTACTTCAAGATATTGTTCTAAAAATGCATCTCAACCTCAAGCTTACTAATCATGTGACAAAAGTGATAATGTGAATCTAGTTTTTCAAATAATTTCTTTATTCAATGACGACTAATCAAAGAGTTGGTATATTTTTGTATTCACAGTTCTTCAACTTTGTATATTTTCATATCTTGAGCCGCATTGTAATTTGTTTTTTCTTATATGCAAAATTCAAAATCAAAGATTTATAGAACATTACATATTTATTTCATCAGACATTTGAGAATCCGATAGAAAATGTCTCGCAAACCGGAAAACAAACGTTAAATCCGGAAATTAAAACAAAACTAAGGAAACCAAAAAAAAAAAAGCAGATGATAAAATCAAAGGTGAGGAGGGAGATAAAGTTTTTTTTTTTTGATGTTTACACAAAGCAAAGAAGCAGTGAAATTAAGCATCGGTGAAGCTTGCTGGCTTGTAGGCGATGAAACTGATGCACTGGACTTGACGGGTGTTGTCGAATCCGATGATCCTAATGAAGGCCTGGGGGTACTCCTTCTTGCACTCTTGCACTTCCTTCAACACTTGAGCTGAGTCAGTGCATCCGAACAAAGGAAGCTTCCACATTGTCCAGTACCGTCCATCGTAGTATCCGGGAGTGCTTCCGTGCTCACGGTGCACAAATGCGTTCTACAAAAACACATTACACAAAACCATTCAAAAACATAAATCAAGATTCTGCTTAGGACCTCTAAATAGTTATTAACTTGATTGCAAGATTCATATGGTCCAAGAGATCAAGCTACTCTATAAATGATTTTTATTACCTCCAACTCGAATTCAACACAGGGAATCCACTTGTTGCGGAGAAGGTAGTCAACTTCCTTAGCCAATTCAACTTCGGTTAGGTCAGGAAGGTAAGAGAGAGTCTCAAACTTCTTCTTACCAATAGGAGGCCACACCTATTTTTTGCCATTTTTCCAAAATCAACAAAAACAATATTAGTTTATATGATTCGATAAATCAAAAACCCATAAATTTGTTTTTGGTATAAGAGATTTGACCTGCATGCAGTTAACTCTTCCGCCGTTGCTTGCGATGGAAGTAATGTCGTTGTTGGCCTTACGGGTCACAGGGAAAGCAGCGGAGGACTTAAGTCCGGTGAAAGGTGCGACCATTGTGGCCTGAGCCGGAGAAGCGACCATTGTAGCGGAAGAGAGCATAGAGGAAGCCATATTGCCTTTACTCTTTTTGTGTGTGACTTAGGTTTGGTCTAGTGCTTTGGTCATCTATATATAATGGTAACAACAATGATAACAAGGTGAGGGAGTGATCGGAGGGCTCAGGATCCATGAGATTGAAGTTGAATAGGATTAAGACCGTTGGATTTTTGAGTGGATATGTGTGAGGCTTAATTACATGGTAACGGCCACAAAGCCTAAAGGAAAGGTGTTGAGACCCTTATCGGTTTGAATCACTAGAAAAATGCCACGTGGAAGATAATTCCATGAATCTTATCGTTATCTATGAGTGAAAATCTGTGATGGTGGTGCTACTCATTTTATTTTCCGGTGTGGGTTTAGCCTCTTCCTTTGGGGGAGATAAATATTACTACTTAAAAGGCTTTTAAATTTTCATTTTCTTTTTAAACCTTGGGTTTGATTAACGATAACGTCAGGCCCAAAGTGATTGTAGAAAAATATTGTAGTCAGATTGCAAGGTGATGTGAATTTTTAATTTACTAATAGCATCTCCAAGAAATAACTTTTACATTTTAAGTATGTTAGATCTTAAATTTAATGTTTGAAGGCAGGACATATCTCTAAAGGCAACTTCAAATTTTCAAATATGAGGTTTTGTTCACCCCAAAATAGCATTAAAACTTTAAATTTGAGGTTTATAATTTTTTATTTACATTTTAATCTTTACAATTATATATTTCATAAATAATTATTTTATTTTTAGCTTTACTATTCTAATCCAAACAATTTTATATCTCATGAATACTTCACATTTCTCTTTATAAATTTTATATTTGCATATAAAATGAAATTACAAACTAAAATTAAAAATACCAATATGAAATAATATTACATAACATAAGAACCAAATTTTACACAACAACAATATTACATTTAAAAATTTTAATACAAAATAAAGTAACAAAAATATATATATATAAAGTAGCATAAAAACTTCAATATTACACAATTGAAAATAGTACAACAAAACTAATATTCCGGTAAGTAATAAAGTTGTATGATATTTATTAATAATGATATAAATAAGGATTATAATGTAATATTTTAAAATTTGTGATATTGGATTTGAGGTTTTGCTTTTGGAGACAAACACCATCAAACCTCAAATATGAGGTTTGACCAACTCAAATTTGAAGTCCTCTTTGGAGCAGTGGCGGAGGCAGCATAGTTTTAGAAGGGTCAACTGACCCAAGTAAAATTCTTAAAAAAATAAAATTGTTCTTGATTTTTTTTTTTAATTTATCCATCTTCCAAGCCCAAAATAAGAATTGACCCCCCTAGAATTTAAAATTTATTTTAATCCTGACCCATGTAACTAGTTTTCTTGCCTCCACCACTGTTTTGGAGATACTCTAAATGATAAAACCACAAAATAAAATTTCAAAACAAAATTGTTTTTTATTTTGCATTATAATGTTTTATTATGGATTATAATTACCTAAATCATAGAACTTTTATAAATAGCTACAAAAATATATATTAGAAAATATTACAAGCAATACTATAAAATTTTGATATTAAATTACATATAAATAACAATAAAGCACAAAATAAATCATAAATTACAATTAAAATACCAAACTAATGAATGAAACTATTACCATAGTGCTCCAAAATTATTTAGCATCTATATTTTTATTGTAATTTGCTTGATAAATGTAAAATTTTTATGAGATATAAAACTGTAGGAGCTCAACTTATAAACAGAAAAATTATTACGATTATTTTTTAAATATATAATTGTAAAGATTGAATGTAAATGAAACACATAAAATATTAAATTTGAGGTTTTGAGAGTTCTATGTCAAATTCTTATCTTTTTATAGAGTTTATTATCATATTTTCACGGGAACACACATAATATTTATCTTGATTTCGTACATTAAATTTTGATTAATATCGAGTTGTGGCTGTCCATAGGATTGTTTGATTTCACTTGGTGAACTAATGATCCACGAGATAGCGAACTCAATAATTAGATGTTGAATGAGCTTCTCATACCATAGGCCTTTTTAAGTTTTTAATGATAATAAGCTTTTTCTTTTCTGAACCATGCTTTAATATGAGATCTGAATCTGATACCAAACAACATGTAAAGTATGATCACATGTAAGCTTCTTCTATTTAACGGAAATTTCTAATTTGCGATTTAACATAGCTCTTTGACCAACTCAATTGGGTTTGCAATCGAAATTTATGGAATATATCTTCGATCAAATGATATCTAAAGAGTTCTCTACTAGAAAGCTCATAACTTATGTATGTATTTTTCTTTTCTATAATAAAATTAAGAAGTATTTTTATTATATAAAAGAGAATCTTTCGGTATGGAAACAACATGTAGGATAATTATAACTTACGAAATCGCAACATAAGTCATTGTTAATTTAGATGGTAACATTTATCAATACAATAATATAAAATTTCTAATTTTAGTAATTTGTTTTTTTTTAAATTATGTTTTTTTTTTAAATTATGTTTTTTAAATAACACTAATAAAATAGAAAAAGGTAAAATAAGAGGAAAAAAACAGAAACTATGAAATAGAAAAAATATAAACTAGAAAATCTACAATCTATAATATATTTTTTTACTTTAAAAAGATTGTTTATTAAGTTTGAATTTTCTAATGATAAATTAAATATAATTTGTGGATGAGTTAACAAGATTTTAATTTAAAATATACCTATATATATACTGATCTTAATGAATTATCATTTTTAAAATCTAAATATTTTAACAATCTTCTGCAAGTCTAGTTAAATATAAAACGTAAAAAACTTATCAATCCAATGATTAGATAAGAACTAATATTTATCTTACACTAAATATAACTTTCAACCTAATAAACCTAAACTACATTAGATCAATGCTGAATTATTAATATTTAGAGCTTAAATCTCTTTAAGAAAAATATACAAAAACAAAATTCTATCAAAAAACATAGCAAATTTAAAATCGATTATAAATCAAATGAAGTTTGAGAAAAGACGAAACTATTTGCAATTTAAATTGTGATGGCGTTTATTCAATTTAGTAAAAAGAGGAGCATTTCAAAATCAAATTTAAAGTAGACAGTTTTGGTGAACATTGACCAATATCTGCCAAATATGATATGACCCCAAACATAAATTCATGATCAAACACTAAACATGTTTTCCCAAATCCAAAAGCTTTAAAAATTAAAAATCAAAATACAATCAAAAGCAAAACTAAATCGATGAAATTATATCAAATAACATCGAAAGAAGAGATTTAAGCTCCACGATTACGATTACATCCACTTGAAAATATGGATCATCTGAAGATTATAGAGTTGCTTGGACAAATTCTAAGTAGGTGGAATTTATCTCACTAAATTTAAACTACTTTCTTTGGTGTTTTTTTAATTTTAATTTCATCCATTTAATTTTAGGCACATTTGATTGAGTTTATATTTTAGGTCAGAGTCTAATTTGTGGTATTGGTTACAAAGATGATGATAAAACAAAAATTAATTCGTAGTGATTTGCGGGAGCAATTCACAAACCTTACAACATTTTATATATAATGCTTAATTTGATCATATGATGAAAATAATATTTACATAACACTAACACTAAAATCTACACACTGAGTGATTAGAAACGTTATAAAGTGATAATACAGAAAAAATAACTAGTTTTGTCAATCTCCTGTAATTGACTTTTGCACAAATTTATGATAGTTTTGCATTAAAAAATTTGTAAAGAGAAATAAATCCTAAAATAATCTTACAAACACCTTAGTTTGCTATAGTAACCTACCTCACACAAATCCTAACCAATATAACCTTACCAAAGTTGGAAAAGATCTTTTTTCCTAGTTAACTATTTATTAACAAAAATACCATTATTTAAATTATTTATTTACGATCTTTATTTTTTAAAAAAATTTCTGAAATAACAATTAAAAATCTTTTCATTAATAAAATTTTTTATGAAATAACTATTAACTTAATTTGAAAAACTGTTTTGTTGTGACAAAACAACAGACAAAAAAATTGTCGGTGACGATGAAGATGAAGATGAATCCGACATTTCGCTTGTTCTCCAGTGACTCCGTCGAATCCCGTGTCTTCTTCCCTGAAATTTTTCTCGAAGTTGTTGTAGCGTCGGCTGTGTAGAGGAAAAGTTTCAGCATTGGTCGTTAGATCATGTATGATGAAGTTACAGCTTTTAAAAATAAAACTAAACATTAATTTTTGTGTGTTGCAGGAATGGACATTCATGTATAGTATACTTGTTAGATCATGTATGATGAAGTTATTGTTTTGTGTATGTATTGTATAGTTGTTGAATCATGTATGATATTGTTATTGTTCCGCGTATGTATGGTTGAGTTGTTAAATCATGTATGATAGAGTTATTGTTTTTTGTATGGTATAGTTGATTCATGTATGATAGACTTGTTTAACCATATATAGTATGGTAATGTTACTGAATCGTGTATGATATACTTGTTGAATCATCTCAATTGATGAGTCAACATCGTCAATGACAGTTTTGAACTCTATATTTTCTATGATCTCGACGCATAGATAGACCGTCTCGTTTTCAAATTGACGTAAAAACCCAGCAAATTGTCGAGTACTTGCTACAAAAACCGGAGATATATCTTATGATAGTTTTTGCTTGTATCTCTTTGATTTACCAACAAAATCAAATCTACCATCAAAAGATGGAAGACTTTATTTTCAACTGATGGGCTTGCGGGTCTAAGGTAGTTTTTTTTAACAAGCCCGTTGGTTCTCCAAAAGTTTTTAATTTATAAAACCTTAGTGTCTGCAAGTGCATAGATGTACGTTGTAGGACTTAGGGTGTCGATCCACAAGGAGAATGTCTAATCTGCGAGAAACAACAAACTGGGAAGTAAGCAAAGTCATAAACCAATAAAAGTTTTGGGGTTTTTGGTTGATCTTAAACTAAACCTAATCTAATATTCACAAGAAATGCAATGCATGATAAATTGTTAAAAGAACATCTAAAACATATCGACTCAAACTAAAGACTCTTAAACTCATAGGTGATGATTTAGACTTCTCTGGTTTACTCTAATCAATGTATGATGGCATTTCCAATTAGCTTCCGGGCGATTTATTTTCATCTGTTTCTGGGAATC